TCCAAATCATGTACAAAAGAAACCTGCCCTCATCTATGACTCTTTCCCACCCTGAGGCATCAATGTTGACAACCAAAAAGCCCTATTTTGGGAGGTGCCTGGGTGGCTTACTCGGTTCAGCATTTGACTCCTTTGATTTCAGCTCAGGTCATGATCTCAAGGTTGTGAGGTTGAGCCCTATGTCTGGGTCTGTGTTGTTCCAATTTAATTTAAAATTTTTTATTTTTATTTTTTAATTTTTATTTATTTATGATAGTCACACACACACACACACAGAGAGAGAGAGAGAGAGAGAGAGAGAGAGAGAGAGAGAGGCAGAGACACAGGCAGAGGAAGAAGCAGGCTCCATGCCGGAGCTCGACATGGGACTCGATCTCAGGTCTCCAGGATCACGCCCTGGGCCAAAGGCAGGCGCTAAACCGCTGCACCACCCAGGGATCCCTAATTTAAAATTTTTAAAAAGATTTTATTTATTTATTCATGAAAGATAGAGGAGAGGCAGAGACACAGGCAGAGGGAGAAGCAGGCTCCATGCAGGGAGCCCAATGCAGGACCTGATCCCTGGACTCCAGGATCACGCCCTAGGCTGAAGGCAGATGCCCAACCGCTTAGCCACCCAGGTGTCCCATCGTTATAATTTTAGTATATGTGCTGCTGAATCGAGCACAATGTCTGGCTCTGTGCTGGGCCTGGACCCTGCTTAAGATTCTCTCCCTCTCCTGCTCCCCTCTGCTCATTCTCTTTCTTTCCCTAAGAAAACAAAACAAAAAACCCAAAACCCTATTTTGTCTTACTCTTCTGTGATTTTTTAAAAGATGTTATTTACTCATTCATGAGAGACACAGAGAGAGAGAGAGACACAGGCAGAGGGAGAATCAGGCTCTCCACAGGGAGCCCAATGCAGGACTTGATCCCTCCCCTGACCTGTGATCACATCCTAAGCCAAAGGCAGACGCCAAACCACTGAGCCACCCAGGCGTCCCTGTGATTTTGTTGAAAACTGATTTTCCCAGGGCACCTGGGTGGCTCAGTCAGCAAGGTGCCTGCCTTCAGCTCAGGTGATGATCCCAGGGTCCTGGGATTGAGCCCTGCATTGGATTATTTGCTTCCAGGGGAACCTACTTCTCCCTTCCCCTCTGCCTGCTGCTTCCCCCACTTGTGCTCTCTCTCTCTTAAGAAACAAAACCGGTTTTGCCAACTATATTCAACTGTCTCAGTACAGAACATTTTGAGACTCATTTTGAGATTTTGCCAGGCATGTGGAAGGGCAACAGGGCAAGACAACCAAGATAAGATGGTGATCCAGGTCGTTAACTACATAATCCAGACTTTAAAGAATTGAATGAGACCAGCGAGTGCTACTAGATCAGAAGAACATTGAGGCATCAAGTCACAAGTTCTCTTTGAGGTTGCATCGAAGCTAGGGAAGGTCAGTACAAACCAGCTGGAAGAACAGAAAAAAAGTTAAGAGGAAAGTGTCTAGGGGATCCCTGGGTGGCTCAGCGGTTTAGCGCCTGCCTTTGGCCCACGGTGTGATCCTGGAGTCCCGGGATCGAGTCCCATGTCGAGCTCCGGCATGGAGCCTGCTTCTCCCTCTGCCTGTGTCTCTGCCTCTATCTCTCTCTATGTCTATCATAAATAAATAAATAAATAAATAGATAGATAGATAGATAGATAAATAAATAAATAAATAAATAAAAACTTTAAAAAAGTGTCTACAGTTTGAGATTTCCAGTGTGAAATACCCGTATAACAAGGTCAGATCTTTACCATAAGTGAGTGAAAGTCAGTGAGTTTCAGAAATTTCAAAAAGTATAAGGCTTAGATGTTGGATGGTTCATACTTATGAAATGAAAAATCACACTGATATCAAAGTCCGATGAGAGCTGGGGAGAGACCAGAGCAGGGGTAGATAAGGATCTAGTTTCTTTACTGATCATTTTCCTTACTCCCACTCAAGCTCCAACTTCTTGTCTCATGTCCTTATGTCCACTGGTATCATCTTTTTGCCTTCACTTCCTTGTCCATGGTTCATGTGTCTGTTCCCTCTGGCAGAAAACCTGAATAAGCCTGCTTCTCTCTTTTAGTCACACACACCAGATTAAGAAAATCACCCTTCCAGGAGCATCATTATGTTTGCAGAGAAAAGTCAAAAGGGGCTGGTTAGAGATATGTTGACAGATGGCAGGATATATCAAACCCTTTAGATCCTACAGTGGGTTTCCCTTTCATTCTCTGAATATTTCCACAGAGGCTAGTCATTTATTCATTGTTTTTTTTTAAAAAACAAAATCAATGAATATATGTCATACAGAAAAACTTCAAATCCATAGTAGGGAAACAAATGTTTAGAAACTCCCCTACAGGGTGCCTTGGGTAGCTCAGTGGTTGAGCGTCTGCCTTTGGCTCAGGTCATGATCCCGGGGTCCTGGGATGGGATGGAGTCCTGCAACAGACTCCCTACTGGGAGCTGCTTCTCCCTCTGCCTATGTCTCTGCCTCTTTCCTGAATAAATAAATCTTTAAAAAAAAAACCCAAAAAACCAAACCTCTTTACACTCACCTCATCCAGTTCTACTCCACAAAGTTAACAATTGTTCTAATTTTTTGTTTATCCTTCTAAAACTCCACTTACACATGAGAATGGTGTCACACAATATATTTCACAAGACAGTCCATGTGTTTAACATATATCAAAATGTGTTAAATCTGGAAAACAATTTAAACAAATATGTTAAATCCCCAGAACAAAGTGATCTTCCTAAAACACATTTGAAAATTTCAATAGGAAAAAAAAAGAAAATTTCAAATAGGGGATGCCTAGGTGGCTCAGGGGTTGAGCATCTGCCTTTGGCTCAGGGCGTGATCCCAGGGTCCTGGGATTGAGTCCCACATCGGGCTCCCTCTTAAATAAATAAATAAAATATTAAAAAAATAAAAATAAAAATAAAATTTAAAGAGGTAAAGAGATAAAAGTTATGGAGAAGGTGCAAGAAATTTGAAATCCTCTTGCATTGGAACGTTAACAGCATTGAGTGTATAAACACTATATATGAAACACAAATTGATACAGCCTAGAATATTTGCTAGGTTGTAACCGAAAAGACAGTGTTTATAGCCAAGAGATGCAAGCAGAAATTGAAGCTTAGGCATTAGGAACTGGTACCTTTTTTTTTAAGATTGTATATCTATTCATGAGAGACACAGAGAGGCAGAGACACAGGCCAAGGGAGAAACAGGCTCCTCAGGGGGAGCCCCATGCAGGACTCGATCCCAGGACCCCGGGATCATGATTTGAGCTGAAGGCAGGCGTTCAACCACTGAGCCACCCAGGTGTCCCCCTCCCCACCCTTTTTAAAGAAGAAGTAGGATTTATTGACAGACATGAATAGGGAGGGGGCAGTGTCCAGGTTCTCATGAGTGCAGAGCCCACCATTTTTCCAGGGGGCCATGAGTAGGGATATATTTGACCCTACAGCCATCTGGGATGAGCGGCTTTTCAGTCACCATGTCTTCAAATCCGTCCACATTAAACTTAGTAAAGCCCCACTGCTTTGAGTTGTGGAGATTCTGGCAGCCAGGGAACTTGAACTTGGCCCTATATAGGACCTCAATCAGCCACTCCTTGTCTTTCAGTTTGGTACAGATGGACACGATGACGTGGCCAGTGTGGGCCCTTGGCCACTGTGCCCTGGGGCTTCCCAAGGCACCTGGCATACCTTTCTGGAACCTGTCAGCCTCAGCACAAGACAACACCTTGATGTAGATGATGTGGAAGGGGTGGAGCCTCACTCGGATGTGAAAACCATCTTTGCCACAGCTTTTCACCATGTACTTGCTGGAACAAATATGGGCAGCCTCCGGAGCTTCAAAGACTGCACATATCCATCAGACACTATCTGGCCACATGGTGGGAACTCATCCAATTTTGCCTTCTTCTGCCCCACATCAAAGATGCAGATTTTGGCATCAGGGGCACCTCTGCAGAAGGGAGATTTTGGATATGACCTATTCTTCCAATACTACTAACACCTGGCGGAGCAGCAGCCCATGGCGGCACCAGGTTCTTCAGTGGCTGGGAAGGAAAAGAGAGGAACTGGTTCCTATTGGTAAAATCACATTTCCCAGCAGTTCAGTTTTCTCATTTATGGTTTAGAATGATGATCAAGTTGAGATAATGCATTAAAAATTGTGATCCCAGGATCCGGGATCAGGTCCCGCATGGGGCTCCCTGCAGGGACCCTCCTCCCTCTGCCTGTACCTCTGCCTCTCTCTGTGTCTCTCGTGAATAAATAAAATCTTTTAAATATATATATATAAAAGACACTTTCAGGTATTATCTTCAGTGATACTTATCTTTATTCTGGGACTTCAAGTCATATTCAGCCCCTACAGCTACCACAAATGCAGCAAATCCCTATTTGAATAATGCACCAAAGGAAACATTGTTTGCAAAGCCAGCCAATGGTTGGCTCCAAGCTTCCTAGCAGCCCCATGGATCCCTCGGCCTGTGTGCAGTCAGCTTCTCCTGGACAGATTGAAATGGTTTTCCTTCTGTCTTCCACTGTTTATAATCTGGAAGTTCCAGTTTAATAGGACAGCGTCTGATAGCAATCTGACCTCTCGTAGCACTTAATTTTCAACCCTCCAGCCAGAACCAAAGGGAAACGGTGGTGTATGAAAAGTTTTTGGGGTATCTGAGAATTATGGGACACAATCTGTCTCTAAAAGTCAATATAGGGACGCCTGGGTGGCTCAGCGGTTAAACGCCTGTCTTTGACTCAGGGTGTGATCCTCAGGGTGTGATCCTGGGGTCCTGGGATCGAGTCCCACATTGGGCTCCCTGCATGGAGCCTGCTTCTCCCTCTGCCTCTCTCTCTGTATGTCTCATGAATGAATGAATGAATAATAATAATAAATAATAAATAAATTAAATAAATAAAAGTCAATATGTTCCTTTTTTACTTCCTTAAAACTTAGTGTTCTACATATAAAACAATCTTACCTCTTGGATCTTTTCTTATATTTCTGCTTGTACATATCTTCATTGTAGCTCTTCCTCCTTTTATGAAACCATTGATTTATCTAAAAAAGTGAAGTTAGGGAAATGATGAACCAAGGAATAAGGTCACTGGTTTATATGGGTGATAGCACTACACAGGTGACTTTCAATAAAGAAACATGTTGTCATACCTGTTCTACTGTCATGTTAAATTCAAATGCCAGTGATTGGCTATCTCTTCTTGTGGGGCATTTGTTTAACTTAAACATTGCCCAGAGAGTGTCCATGAGGGGTTTGCTGACAAATCGTTCCCGGGGACATTGTTCTTCCTTTTCCTCTTCCTCTTCCAGTTTTTCTTCTACTTCCACTTCTTTTTCTTCTCTTTCTCTCCATTTTTCTTTTCTCCTTTCATCTTCATGATGATTCCTATTTGATTGCTCTGGATATTGACCACAAAGCATAGCTGGTTCTTTCTGTATAGCAAAATCTGTGGAATAAAATCAAACTGCAGCTAAATTTGACTTTTAGATCATAGTCAACATTCTTCAGTGAAAGAATATATTTGATTCTCATAAAGTAACAGTGTTGTCCATTGTTGGAAAAAAGAGGAAAGGAAAAGCAAAATTATTAAAATCAAAGACATTCATAAAAACATCAGTTTAGGGCAGCCCTGGTGGTGCAGCGGTTTAGCGCCACCTGCAGCCCGGGGTGTGATCCTGGAGTCCCGGGATCGAGTCCCACATCGGGCTTCCTGCATGGAGCCTGCTTCTCCCTCTGCCTGTGTCTCTGCCTCTCTCTCTCTCTCTCTCTCTCTGCTACTCTCTCTATCATAAATAAATGAAGAGCTCATGGAGCAAACTGAGAAGGGTGGGTAACCCGAAGTTTAGTGTTTGCAGGTGTTGCTCCACACCCAGGGCAGGGAGATCTGAGCACAGAACACACTCCCTGCCAACAATATTGCCAGAACCCCTAGAGTCTGCTGCTGAAACTGCCCAAGCCTGTATAGCCTGCAGCCTTGCATTGTTAGAGGGGAGCTTTCCAGAAACAGAGATAGAACAATGGCTTCTCCCATTTTCCTGTCTTCCAGTCTCCCCCAGGACTTCCTCTCTTTGGTCAAACACAACCAGAATCCAGCTGCCCACGGATTCCAGGAAGTACAATTTACAGGGGTCTAGTCCTCTGCAAAACAGAGCAGAGCACAAGGATAGATGCTCTGTTTCCATTCCACTGAAGAATGGAAATGGAGCTGAGGACAGGAGAATAATTGGACCACTCACCTTTTGGGTTTTGTCTTTATTTTTGTTTGTTTGTTTATAGCAGGGGAGAGGGAGGGGCAGAGGGACAGGGAGAGAATCTAATGCAAGTTCCACACCCAGCACAGAGCCTAATTTCAGGATCCTGAGATCATGACCTGAGCTGAAATCAAAAGTCAGATGCATAACTGACCCAGCTACCTAGATGCCCTTAGATTTTTTTCTTAAAGATTTTATTTATATGAGAATGAGAGAGAAAGAGAGAAAGCACACAGAGGAAGAGGGATAAGCAGACTCCCCACTGAGCAGGGAGCCTGATGCAGGGCTCAAACCCAGGGCCCTGTGATCATGACCTGAGCCAAAGGCAGATGCCCAACCATCTGAGCCACCCAGGTGCTTCTAGATTTATTTATTTATTTATTTATTTATTTATTTATTTATTTATTTATTATTTATTCATTCATTCATTCATTCATGAGAGACACACAGAAAGAGAGAGGCAGAGACACAGGCAGAGGGAGAAGCAGGCTCCATGCAGGTAGCCTCATTCGGGACTCGATCCCAGACCCCAGGATCATGCCCTGAGCCAAAGGCAACCGCTCACCTGCTAAGCCACCGAGGTGTCCCTAGATGGTTGTTTTTAAATAAAATGAGACAAGTATCTGTCTCCCAAACCCTAGAGAACACGTTAGCTCTCTGATTGTCCAAAGCATCCCTTTATTTGGCTTGAGATGGGCAGTGAGCAGCAAAGCACAACAAACTCCCGTGTTGCTGAAATCGAAATACTGAATAACCTTTTTTTAATCTCATGGTTATCCTGTAACAATTGTGTCGATGTTTTGCACTGAGGATGCAAAAGCAGAAGTGGGGAAGATGCTGGTGCCTTCCCATGACTGGAAACAGTGGTACCAAACTTTACTAAGACTTACTGTATAGTTTGCTACCATGCCTGCACAGTACAACTAAGTGCCACTGTCACTAAGGAACGTTTCTGACTGTAGTAAATGGAAGGATGTGTAAAGTGCTCTAAGTCCAGGCAGCTCCAACCCGGGCTCTGGTTAGCCTTACCTTATTCTGGACCCAGATACTTAAGAGAACAGCAGGAGAAGTCAGGCCTTGGGATCCCTGGGTGGCGCAGCAGTTTGGCGCCTGCCTTTGGCCCAGGGCGCGATCCTGGAGACCCGGGATCGAATCCCACATCGGGCTCCCGGTGCATGGAGCCTGCTTCTCCCTCTGCCTGTGTCTCTGCCTCTCTCTGTGTGTGACTATCATAAATAAATAAAAATTAAAAAAAAGAAAACCTGGAAAATCATTCTTGATGCCATTAAGAACATTATTCAAGGTAAGAAGTCAAAATAAATATTAACAAGTTTTGAAGTTGATTCCAATCCTCATTGGAGGATTTTGAGGAGTTCAAGACTTCAGTAGAGAGTTATTATAGATGTGGTTGAAACAGCAAGAGAACTAGAATCAGTGGTGGAGCATTAAGATGTGACTGAATTGCTGCCATCTCATGATCAAACTTGAATAAGTTTTTTTCTAATGAAAGAACAGAAAGAGCAAAGAAAGTTGTTTCTTGGGCAGCCCAAGTGGCTCAGCGGTTTAGCGCCATCTTTAACCCAGGGTGTGATCCTGGAGACCCGGGATCGAGTCCCACATCGGGCTCCCTGCATGGAGCCTGCTTCTCCCTCTGCCTGTGTCTCTACCTCTTTCTCATAAATAAAACCTTAAAAAAAAGTTGCTTCTTGAGATGGAACCTACTTCTGTTGAAGATGCTGTGAAGATTGTTGAAATACAGAGGACTTAGAATAGTACATTAACTTAGTTGATAAGGCAGCAGCAGTTTGAGAGGATCGACTCTAATTCTGAAAGTTCTGTAGGCAAAACGCTATCAAATAGCATAGATGGATGCTACACAGAAGTTGTCCTGGAAAGGAATTGATGAAGCAAACTTCATTGTTGTCTTCAACATTGGAGGCCAGACCATTAGCCAGTAAAAGTATTACCACTGGCTGAAAACTCAAATGGTTAATATTTTAGCAAAAAAGTATTTAAGGCATATAAATTTTTTTTAGACATAATGCTTTTGCACATTTAATAAACTAAGTATAATGTAAACCTAACTTTTATAGGTACCGAAAACCAAAAGATTCATTTGACTGGCTTTGTTGTGAGACTTGCTTTATGACAGTGGTCTGGTCCAAACTCACAACTCCAAGGTATGTTTGCAAATAGTAGAAAGAACAAGAAAATTAAGTGGAAATATTTAAAGGATGCATAGGAAAAAATATAAACATAAAGGCAATCCAAAATACACAGGACTGGACTCCCCAGGGAAAACAAAAGGGATGGAACAGGACAATTATGAGGAAAGCCCTCAGGAAACTAAATGAAACAAAGAACACACCAAGTTCAAGAGGAAATGATCCAAAATGGTCCAAACAGAGCTATTTGAGGAGCCATCTTTAAAGCTAAAAGACCCTTTTGAACCATCAGGCAAAAAGAGAAACAGGTGAAGGGGTGGAGAGGGGGGAGGGGGAGCAAGCTGGCCTCAGCTCTCATTAACACTCAGCATTTACAACATTTCAACAATGCTTCTAATTAATATCCTTGAGCAAAAGGAGACAAGTGGTCAAGAAAAAAAGAACAGTTTGAAATATTAAAGACTTCAGGGCACTGAGTCCTTTCTGAAGAAAGCACTAGAGAACAAGTGAGGAGTAACTGGTTAAGTACAGAAAAGACACAGCAATGAGCGTTACATGTATGTAACCGCAGGAAAAAGGACTTAATTTTAAAAAAATTTTAAGGAAAAAGGACTTTAAAAAGGGACAAAAATAGATATAGAATAGCTGTTTCCTGGGATCCCTGGGTGGGGCTCAGCGTTTTAGCACCTGCCTTTGGCCCAGGGCGTGATCCTAGAGTCCCGGCATCGGGCTCCCTGCATGGAGCCTGCTCCTCCCTCTGCCTGTGTGTCTGCCTCTTTCTCTGTGTATATCTCATGAATAAATAAAATCTTAAAAAAGTTTCCTATGAAAACTTGAGTTCAGCAAGACAAAGCTGAACAATATATAATTTAATGGACTCCAATTCAAATTAAGAGGTAGAGAAGACAGAAGGGTAAGGAAGGAAAAGAGGGGAAAATGGAGTAATAATCACTGTTTGCATTAGGAAAATAGGTACTAAAAGTAAAAATGTTAATGAAGTCATATGAAATTTGAATTCTCCTAAATTCCCAAACTATTACACACATACAAATATAGCTGGCATGATAAAGGGAGATAAAAAAATCACCCACCGAAACATTTTCAGATGGTGTTAGACCACAGAACCTAAATCTTTGCTGCGTAAGTCACAAGAATGATATAGAAAGGCTGAATATAGGCAAAAAAAAAAAAGGCTGAATATAAAGGAATTGTATAATTTTTGCCTAAGTCTCTTAAATGACTCATTACATAATACTCTTGCTCAAGTTACAAGTTTAAGTACTTGAGGTTGAAGGGTTGTAACATCTGAAATTTACTTCCAAATACCTCAGTAAAAAGTGTTACGCATGGCTAATATCTAGAGGAGTTGTGTACATAAGCTTATTGCTCTAGCCTTGGGAATGGTTGAAATTTCTTAAAAAGCTAAAAATAAGTATAGGGGCAAGCTGGCTAGCCCGGTTGGTGGACTCTTGATTTCAGGGTTGGGAGTTTCAGCCCCACTGAAGTAGTAGTTTACATTGGGTGGAAGTTAATTTAAAATATTTTAAGACTGTATTTGAGGAAGATAGTGAAGAAGGACAAGCAGCGGGGAGAGGGAGAAGCAGGCTTCCTGCTGGGAAGGGAGCCCAATGAGAGGCTCATTCCCAAGACCCCAAGATCCCCAGCCGAAAGCAGGTGATGCTTAATTGATTAACCCAGGGACCTGTAAAAATAAGGCAACAAAAAAAATAGAAAGTGACACCTGTTCTATATTGCAATCAGTGAGGAAATCTAATATAAAATCCCTTAACACCTGATAAGATTATCATGAAAAAAAGTTCATTTTTTAAAAAGTTCCTTTATTTATTCATGAGACAGAGAGGCAGAGACACAGGCGAAGGAGAAGCAGGCTCGCCATGGGGTGCTCCATGTGGACCCAATCCCAGATTCCAGGATCAGGACACCCAACCCCTGAGCCACCCACGTGCCCAAAGAAAGGAACTTAAGAGGGAAGATGAAGAGGCACACAATAGAGCATTTGCTTTAGGCACAGGCAGTATTTCCATCTCACATCAGCCACTTCTTACGTGGTTTGAATGGGCTTAATGAATACAGAACACATACTGTGTGATCTTGTTCCAAGTTTTTTTTTTTTTTAAAGTCCTATCTTTGGAGAGAACTAAGCTGGAGGGTTTTTTTTTTAATTTATTCATGATAGTCACACAGAGAAAGACAGAGAGGCAGAGACACAGGCAGAGGGAGAAGCAGGCTCCATGCAGGGAGCCCGACGTGGGATTCGATCCCGGGTCTCCAGGATCACACCCTGGGCTGAAGGCGATTTACTTGAGAGAGAGAGAAAGAGCATGAAGAGAGATACGGTGAGAAAAGGAAGCAGACTCCTCACTGAGCAGGGAGACTGATGTGGGGCTCAATCCCAGGACCTGGGATCATGGCCTGAATTAAAGGCAGGCACTTAACTGAGGCACCCAGCCACCCCCAGCCTAGAATGTTCTTTTTGTTGTTATTGTTAAAGATTTTCTTTATTTATTCATGAGAGAGAGAGGCAGAGACAGAGGCAGAGGGAGAAGCAGGCTCCATGCAGGGAGTCCAATGCCAGACTCGGGATCCCGGGATCCCGGGATCACGCCCTGAGCGGAAGGCAGACGCTCAACCGCTGAGCCACCCAGGCGTCCTGATCCTTTTTTTTCCCACCTAGAACGTTCTTAAACATTTTTGTGCCATGGGTCCCTTTGGCCTTTCTTTTGAAGCTGATGGACCCCTTCTCAGAGTAATGGCCTACATACCTAAAATAAAATATTTAGAATTCCTAAAGAAATCAATTAAATGTTACAATACATTTGTAAAAATATTTGAAACCAAATGTGTGTATAGTAACATACATGGATGCTAGAGTTCCGTGAAAATAAAGAAGTAATTCTTTTTCCCATCCAAGTTCATGGACCTTCTAAATTCTATCCAGGACCCCTTGGGGACCTGTGGCTGTGAAGATAAGAAACTCTGGTCTCAAGTGAGGAGTGAGAGAAACAAATCCTTCCAATGGTAGGGTTTGAGTAACTCATCATTTTCTGCCCTTATTTTGATATCATATAACACTTGACACTTCTATCATATAGGTGGATATGAAGTCAAATATGTTATGGTGACTCTCCCATCTCTGTTCCAATCCAGGTCTCTTTCTTTACTCCAAGAAACGTCCCCAAGCCTCCTCTTGCTTCCAGAAATTCCTCTACTTTAACCTCTCTGCCATTAAAGATAAGGAGCTGTTAACAATGGCCCAACTGGGCCTGGATTTGGGGCCCAACACTTATTATAAGCCAGGACCGGAACTGCAGTTGGCTCCGTCCCTGGTTCAGGAGCCTCACGGGTGGGGCCAGTCCATCCCTAAACCAGCTAAAATGCTCCTATTACAGTCAGTACCATGGCCTCGAGGTGTCGTCCACTTCAACCTGCTGGATGTGGCTAAGGATTGGAATAACAACCCCAGGAAGAACTTAGGTTTGTTGCTAGAGATACTGGTGAAAGGAAACAGAGACTATGGGGTGAATTTTCAGCTTCAGGACACCTGTGCCGAACTGAGACAGTCCCTTCATGCTTCCCTGCTGGTGGTGACTCTCAACCCTGAGCAGTGCCACCCTTCATCCCGGAAAAGGAGGGAAGCCATCCTTTTCCCTAAGGCTTCTTGCCAGAACCTCTGCCATCGTCACCAGCTATTCATCAACTTCCAGGACTTAGGTTGGCACAAGTGGATTATTGCTCCCAAAGGGTTCATGGCAAACTACTGCCATGGAGATTGTCCTTTCTCACTGACCACCTCCCTCAACAGCTCCAATTATGCGTTCCTGCAAGCCCTGATGCATGCAGTTGACCCCGAGATCCCCCAGGCTGTCTGTATCCCCACCAAGCTGTCCCCCGTTTCCATGCTCTATCAGGACAATGATGACAATGTCATTTTACGTCATTATGAAGACATGGTGGTTGACGAATGTGGATGTGGGTAGGCTGTTAGAAATAGAAGGAGTGCCCTTACAGTAAATCTAATAAAATTAGAAACTTGGTTTATGACTTCTTGGATTTAAAATAACAATATATTTATGTTTAAAATTTGTCTTCTTGGAAAATCCATCATGATTAATGATCTCCCTAATTACATACACACACATGGACACACACACACATTCAGCCCTAATGATCTGTCATGATGTAAATAGGGAGATATTAAGTATAATTTATGCTAATAAATTAGGAACTGTCTTCCTAGAAAAAAAATAACAGAGTCATGATGCACTTGACAGTATGTTAGACTCTAGATAGGAGACTGGCATTTATTGGTGGCCTATTATGGGCAGGCATTATCCTGTGTGTTACCTATAAACATCATTACAGGATGTTTCTTGAGATAGGCCTTATTATTTATACTTCATAGATATTGAAGGTGAATAACAAATTTCCCTAAAGTCATCAACTTTCCCTGGCAGATCTCACAGGCTAACAACGTTACATTTTTTTTAACAATATTACTTTAAAAAAATATATTTTTATGAGCACCTGGGTAGCTCAGTTGGTTAAGTAGTAGACTCTTGATTTTGACTCAGGTCATGATCTCAGGATCCTGGGATTGAGCCCAGAGTCGGAATCAGGTTCCACGCTCAGGGGGGAGTATACTTGAAGATTCTGTCTCCCTCTTCCTCCGCCCCTCCCCCTGCTCATCTACACACACTCTCAAATAAATAAATCTTTAAAAAATTATTTTGAGACAATACAAAATAATAAGAAAAATATTATCAAAACTGTACCTGATATCTACATTTCCTTCTGGTCATTTATTGTTATATATGATTATTTTTAAAAGATTTTATTTATTTATTCATGAGAGAGACAGAGATACAGGCAGAGGGAAAAGCAGGCTCCTCACAGGGAGCCTGATGTGGGACTTGATCACCGGACCCAGGATCATGCCCTTTGCCAAAGGCAGATGCTCAACTGCTGAGCCACCCAGGTGTCCCGTTATATATGATTTTTATAGCTCAGATCACACTGTACATATAATTTTTTAAAGATTTTATTTTATTCATGAGAGACACAGAGAGAGAGAGAAGCAGAGACACAGGCAGAGGGAGAAGCAGGCTCCATGCAGAGAGCCCAATGCGGGACTCCATCCCAGGACTCCAGAACCACGCCCTGGGCCAAAGGCAGGTGCTAAACTGCTGAGCCATCCAGGGATCCCCTGTACATATAATTTTGTATCTTCCTGTATTCAACATTATCATAGGACTTTTTTTCATATCACCAACATCTACATAGTTCTTTTAATGGCTGTATTATATACAATTAGATGATTATTTAGATACATATTTTACTTAAGAAAGTTTATCATTGGGCATTATTATATTGTTTACAATTTTCATGGTGGAATACTGTTATGATTCTTTGTATATCATTGTCCATATCTTGTCCCCACTTAGAAAAATTTTAGACATGGAATTACAAAGTCAAAGGCATAAATTGATTTCCATAATTAATAGAAAATATACTGATATTAAATATGCATATGATGTAGGGTAAAATGCAAAATTCACACAGACTTCAAGTACAAAACTCTAGACTTTGTAGGATACTTGGAGTTGTAGCAGGAAGTAGGAGTTCACTCATCTTTCTTGTTGAGAGAACTAAAGCAGAAGTTTGTGAATCACTGCTTCATTTAGTCCCTTTTTTAAGATTTTATTTATTTATTCATAGAAACACAGAGAGAGAATGAGAGGCAGAGACACAGGCAGAGGGAGAAGCAGGCCCCATTCAGAGAGCCCGACGTGGTACTCGATCCAGGGTCTCCAGGATCATGCCCTGGGCTGCAGGCGGTGGTAAACCGCTGAGCCACCGGGGCTGCCCAATTTAGTCCCTTTTTTAATGCCATTTGTCACTATCTTATGTCAACTTCACCACTCTCACCTGGATTATTGCCACAACTTTTAACTGAATTGTGGTTTTATTTTTAATTTTTTAAAAATGTCAATTATTACAATTTAACTATATTACAAATACACATATAGATGCCCACATAATATTCCCAGTCTCTTTTCCCATTCTCGTAATGAAACCACCATCCTGAAGTTGATATATTTTTTAAATATTTATTTATTTATTTATTTATTTATTTATTTATTTATTTATTTATTTCAGAGAGAGAGAGAGAGCACAAGCATGAGCATGGGGAAGGACAGAAGGAGAAGCAGAGTCCCCGCTGAGCAGGGAAGCTGAGGTGGTACTCAATCCCAGGACCCTGGGATCATGATCTGAGCTGAAGGCAGATGCTTAACTAACTAAGCCACCCAGGCACCCCACTGAAGCTGATATGTCTTTCCCATTCTACAATTTGAATACATGTATTTGAAATCATAAATAGATAAATCATTGCTGCATAAATATGTAAACTTTATAGAAACAATATTGGAGTATATTTTTCTACAACATTATTTCCCTCTACTATTTCACGTATAATTAATTTTTCCCCCTCTGCTGAGTCATAATCCATTACATGTATATTTCACAATAGATTTATCGATTATTGAACACTGGAGGCATTCAAACAAACTGCTACAATCATTTCAATAGGATGGACACAAAGTCTCCTTGCAATCGCCTTGTCCAGCTGGGACTTCCTTGTAGCACAGCAGTGAAGGGGTAATTATAAGGAGAAGGGACTACAGAGCTTGGAGCAACTCTGAATGCATATCCTTGAACACAAACAGAACTGGTCGATAAAAAGCACCTTGTCAAATGCCGTTTGAACCAGGAACACCGTTCTGACAGGTTTTGGGGAGATTGGCTTTAGACATACCATTTAGAACAAGCTGGTGGAACAATCAGGATGTTGCCAACAATAGTAACTATGTCAATATGTTTACAGAAGTACTTTCAAATTATATATATTTTAAGATTCTATTTATTCATGAGAGACAGAGAGAGGCAGAGACACAGGCAGAGGGAGAAGCAGGCTCCGTGCAGGGAGCCCGATGTGGGACTCATCTCGGGGCCCTGGGATCACGCCCTGAGCCAAAAGCAGACGCTCAACTGCTGAGCCACCCAGGTGTCCTGCAAGTTATACTTGTTGAAGAAAGAGCTAAGATCAGTGTAACAGAAGATAGTTGTTTTGGTAAAGGTGACAATGCTTTGGTGGGGCTTCTGCGGTCCCAGCATTCTTGGTAGTCCATTCAGGCTTGAACAAGTGAATCTGATTGGTATAGACAAAATTCATAAAAATTCACCTACAAACCAGTCATCAATATATGAGTTTACAGTAAGATGCCAAGGGAAGAGGATTAGCCAGCATAGTATGTTTGACTGAAAAGTGCACATGGAAAACAAGTTATCCTAATATATATTTTGGAAATCAGAGGAAGGGAATTAGCTAAATGATCTAAATGGCAAGATTTATTAACCTCCAGGTGCAAACAGTAGAGGAATTGTAATCATTTCAGATCATACCCTCCTATTAACATTCTTTAATCAGTCTACAATATGCTTGCTTGGATAATGGCTTTCTTATTTATAATATCACATGCTAAGCTTTGTTTATTGAGTAAATAAGCTGCTCATTTGATTGGGGTGATCCCAGATTATGTTGGACAAACATTATAAATCATCTTGTAGGGCAGTTTATTTCTGAAATAAATTATCTGTTGTTTTATTTCACTGAGGGACGCCTGGGTGGCTCAGTGGTTGAGCATCTGTCCTTTGGCTCAGGGCGTGATCCCAGGGTCCGGGATGGAGTCGCACATCAGGCTCCCTGCAGGGGGCCTGCTTCTCCCTCTGCCTGTGTCTCTGCCTTTCTGTGAATAAATAAACGAAATCTTTTTTTAAAAAAGTTTCATTTCATTGAAGTGATATTTATTTTTATACACTATCATTTTTTGATGATATATATTTACTGAACTTTAGGATCAGCATAACAATAACTTCTTGAACAGTATGTTTGAGGGCAGCCCCGGTGGTGCAGTGGTTTAGTACCGCCTGCAGCCCGGGGTGTGATCCTGGAGACCTGGGGACCTGGGATCGAGTCCTGCGTGGGGCTCCCTACGTGGGGCCTGCTTCTCCCTCTGCCTGTGTCTCTATGAATAAATAAATAAAATCTTTAAAAAATAAATAAACACAGTATGTTTTGGGGAAAAACCTGGTTAATCAATCTTTTCCTTGATTGAGTTCTAGGTAAATAGAAATTTACTGTAAATGGCACACCTGGGTGATTGAGTCAGTTAAGTGTCTGCATTTGGCTCAGGTCATGATCCCAGGGTCCTGTGATTGAGCCCTATGTGGGGCTTCCCCACTCAGCAGGGAGTCTGCTTTTCCCTCTCCTCCCTATCTGTGCTCTCTCTTCTCTGTTTCTCTCTCTCTTAAATAAATAAAATCAAGGAAGAAAGAAAGAAAGAGAGAAAGAAATTAAGAAATTTACTGTAAGGACTAGTTTTGGTAAAACAGGTAATCTGATCTGAAAGTGCTTAGGAAAAAAACCCACAAAACTGCTTAGGAGATATTGAATTTGAAATTTTTTAAAAAAAGATTTTATTTGGAGGAGGGGCAAGATGGCGGAAGAGTAGGGTCCCCACATCACCTGTCCCCACCAAATTACCTAGATAACCTTCAAATCATCCTGAAAATCTACGAATTCGGCCTGAGATTTAAAGAGAGACCAGCTGGACCGCTACAGTGAGAAGAGTTCGCGCTTCTATCAAGGTAGGAAGACGGGGAAAAAGAAATAAAGAAACAAAAGGCCTCCGAGGGGAGGGGCCCCGCGAGGAGCCGGCTGAGGCCGGGGCGAGTGTCCCCAGGACAGGAGAGCCCCGTCCCGGAGGAGCAGGAGCTGCACCAACCTTCCCGGGCGGAAAGGGGCTCGCAGGGAGCTGGGGCAGGACCCAGGAGGGCGGGGATGCCCTCGGGCTCCCGGGGACACTAACAGACACCTGCGCCCCGGGAGAGTGCGCCGAGCTCCCTAAGGGCTGCAGCG